ATTCAGGGCACAGTCAGAGCTTTTTCTGGTAGAAAAGAAACACCGAAAGGAGTGGGTGTGATGGTGCTGTGAAGGCTGTGTGTGAAGGGTGAGGTTTTGGGGCGAAAGAGCAGCCAGCCCCGGGCCAGTGTCGCATCCCGGGTCCTGAAGGTGAGGTGCCTCGGTCCTTCCAGAACAGGGTCAAGGCGCCCTGAAGGCGCCTTCTCATCGGCTTCATGAAAAACTAGTGGTTCTGTGAGGTCCTTTTCAAATTCTGCTTCTAAGTCCTGTCCCACCTGATCGAAGTCAGAAGCCTGAAAGAGAAAAAGCAAACCCACGCATGTCTAAGCACAAAGAATGAGGGCCACCAGGCCTCCTGGTGGCACAGGGGGTTAAGGCACGAGTGCCACCCTGGCCAGGGAGTGACCCGCAGAGCACAGCAGACCCCTCCTGTCTCCCCGCTGCTCCCCTCAGCAGTGTGTTTCAGTGAATCCACCTGTTCTGCTCCCCACTGTGTCTGGTGAATCCTCTCTCCCCACACCCACCCCTGCACCTCTGGCTTTTACCCCAGTTCTTGTATACATAAAAAAATAAGTCTTTACATTTTGCGGGGGTGAGGGGGGATGGGATCAAAAACGGGGCGGGGGGGAGGGAAACGCACGGGATTATGGTGGTGGCACACGGGTGACTTGGTGATGGGAAACCTGCGGGGATTACAATTGAGATGGAAAAAAAAATGTACAAAATGATGTAAACATAAACTTTTGTGGGGCCCTCCCTGGTGGCGCAGCGGGTTAAAGCACTGCACTGAGAATCTAAAGCCACTTCCGCATGAGTTCGATTCCCGCCTGCTCCGGAGGTGACCACATGGCGCGGCAGACCTCTCCTGACCCGCCCGCTGCTCCCCTCAGCAGTGTACTTTGGCCATCTGCCTGTTCTGCTCCCTTCTCTGTCCCTGGTGAACCCTCTCACCCTCCGCATCTCTGGCCTGTACTCCAGTTCCATATGAATAAATAAATCTTTAAAAAAAAAAAAACTTATGTAAAAAATAAGTCTTTAAAAAAAGAATGAGGACCATCACATCGGGGGGAGCCCCGCTCTCCCTGTACAGAGTGTGCACTACCCAGATGGTCTAGAGGAAGGTGCTGTCACTATAAAACTCCCATGGCCGAGCCTCTGCCCGGCTGCCCACCTGAACCTGACTGGGTGGACTGGACTGAAGAGCTGAGTTTGATCAGAGCAAAGCCCGGGCTTGGTGCTAAATACGTAACGTGCTCTTGCCAACCCACCTGGGGGAAGGTGAGCCTTGCGCCCTAAGGGGCAAGCCTATGCCTGCAACGTGGGCCCCAGAGCTGACTCTCTCCCTCCGACTCCACGTGAGGACACCAGTTAGTACTAGATGTGGCCCGTGAACACGCTGGCTAGTAGCAGGGGCCCCCAAAATGACCTGTACATGCGAGGGAATGGTCAGGAAAAACAAAACACTAAAGCTAAGGATGTCTGAGCCTTCAGGATAGCTCAAGTGGTTGTCTCTACTGATGGACACCCTTGGAGGGCAAAGTGCACACCTGAATCCACTGGGAAATTTAGAAGGAAAACACATCTAGCTTGAGCACCCTTTGAGTGGTCTCCAGGGTGAGGCTGGGGACAGTTCTGGCCAAGTTCTGCTGTGCCAGAAACTCGGGGGGAGCGGGAGGATTGAAAGGGAAGCAGAAAGTCCCCTTTGCCTTGCAAAATGTCGTCTGGTTGCGGAAGATGAGACACATGTCCCGTCCAGCCACGCACTTGCGAGCAGCCGGCCTCTCCCTGATCAAGTCCAGCCACGTGGCTCCCTTAAAGGGCTCCCCTGCAGCTTGAACCTGGGGGCAGAGATTAGGTCATCCAGGAGCGATGTCAGCACCGTCATGCTTACTGGAGCGGAGCCAACGTACACAGGAACCCGCCTTCACTCCAGGCCTGACAGCAGCAACACCTGCCTTCTGGACCCAGCCATGGCTGAGCTGGCCACTGGCCAACAGCCGATCTCACACAGCCTCTTAGGACAGCACTATCAGGACCCCAACTTTAGAGTGGGGGAGGGGGCGGTTAAGTCCCCTACCCATGGTTTCCCAGTTGAAATGGGGGAGCTGGGACTGGAGCTGCCCGTTCGGAGTCTGCCCCAGACCTGCGCTCCCTGGAGCAAGACAGTCTTTCCTGGGGTGCAGCTGGTGCCTCTGCTGTCCCAGAGCCAGGAGGCGCGGGGGGCGGGGAGTGTATCAGGGGTCCCCTCAGGGCCTCGAGGCATCCTGTTGCTGTCTGCAAACGCAGCCCACAAAGGACTTGCCCTCCGCTCTACGGAATGGACTGAACCTGAGCAAAGCCTGGAGCAGACTCTCAGCGGGACTTCGTTGTGTGGGGTCTCGGCAAAAAGGAGATTTGCGGGTGACATTAGGCCTTCCTGAGGAGGAACCCGCATTGCTGTGGACGTGACCAGAGCTTTAAAGGCAAGTGGCTTGCGTCTAGTGAAAGCAGACCTGGGGTAGAGGACACCCCTGTGCTATGGCGGGGTGTGGGGTGTGGCGTTTGGACACTGACTCATCACCTCTGAAGTGACATGGCAGAGGTCCCCTGGGGCTCCCTCCCCCACCCCGGGCCCCTGGGGCTCCTCTGGTGAGCGTGAAGGGCGTTTGGGCTTCACACTCCGCTCACCACACTCCGCTCACCAGCGGCTCCTCAGGCTGCATCCGGCCAGGCCCTCAGACTCCCACCCAGGCTGGCCCCAGCAGCCTTCCCTGGCAGGGGGGTGGGGGGGTGCGGCCTGGAGAGCCCCTCGGAAGGCCGAGGGCTTGGGGGACAGGGACACCTCCCAGGGCCTCTGCGCCCCCGCGTGGGGCCCAAGATGGTGGTCTCTCCGGGGAGGGTGGCAGTGGGGCATGGCAGGATCTGGGTGTCAGGGGGAGGGGCGCCCCGCCGTCCCATCTGAGCTGCTGGGGGCACAGGGTCCCCCCCACCGGCCGGTGTCCTGAGGGACCCAGGCGCCACCCGCCCTGGAGAACAGGCCCGTTCCCTGCCTCTTCCCAGTAATAGTAACAATAACAGCAACAATAATGAATAATGGCGATTCCCACCCGAACCCCGTGGGCAGGAGCCTTGGCCAGGCCGGGGAGCCCCTCTCCCGGGGACAGGGCTGGCGTGGGGTCCAGCGGCTCAGGCCCGGCCCAGAGCCCCGAGGAACGGGCTGCCCGGCTCGGCGGGGCCACACCGGCCTGGTCTGGGTCCTGCTGTCCCTCTGCAATGGCCGCAGAGCGGGAGCCGCTCACCTGCCAGCCTCCGCCGCGGGGTGTCAGCCCCCCCCCAGGCTCTTCCGTGGCACAGGCCCCCAGGGCGTCTTCCTGCTGGAGGGGGCAGGCTGGCTCTGCCCCAGGCGGCTGACCTGAGTGGAGCTGCGGCCCCACAGCCAGGTGCCCTCAGGGAGGCTCACGGTGGAACCCTGCTTGGCTCAGGGCTTGAGGTGGCTGGTGAATGCTGGAAACTTGATAAAGCACGGCTTCAGGCAGCTTGCTCATTTTTGCGGGCCTGGAAAGGTGAATTTACTTTCCTGCCATCAAAGGAATTGGGTGTGTGAGCTGGTAGCTCCCAGGCTGTGGGTGCCCTGGGCTGGTGCTTGCTGCTGGCTGTGGCAGTGTGAGGGCGCCCGGTGTCAGGGCCACTGTGCAGGGGCCCCCCTGTGGCCCGAGAAACCACAGGTCTTTCTCGTGGACTCAGAACGTGGTCGAGTCCATTCTACAGGGGGTTCAGCTGAGGCGCTCACCCCTGGGAGGAAGCTCGGAGTGCCCGGTGCCACGCCCGGTATCGCCAGACAGACCGCGGGGTCCTGCACACACGGGGTGCTTCTCCACACTGCACTGGGGCTCGGGAAGCCCTTCTGCCTGGGCTACACCAGTGCACACCCCAACCCCCAGCAGGGCGGAGACCCCGGGAGTGGAACACAGGGTGGGAGGGGGTCAGCCGCGTCCAAGGACAGACACCCACCGCTGCCCTCCACGACCCACATGCCAAGCGCTAGCGCGGGGTGAGGGCCTGAGGGCTGCGGTTGCTTCACCCCCTGTCCAAAGTGCCTCTCCTGCAGAGGACTGACCCCCCGACTTGCGAACGCTGTCCATCTCGGTCTTAACTGGGGAGGCTTCTCACTGGGACTTACGGGGCCAGCCTCCGCCTTCTGGGCCCCAGGACTTCGTAGAGGGGGCCCCACCACCCCCAGGTCCAGCGTCCTTCTAGCCTTCTCGTCCTGAACACGCCGGTCAGCTTTCTTGTCACAGGGGAGACACCACCGCCGTCCCTGCCTCCGCCTGGACATCTGGCCAGGGCACAGCCCCTGTCCCTCCCAGTTGAGTCCCTGGCTGAGGCCAGTCCCTGAGCCTCCCAGTCTCTGCAGTGGACGTGTCCAGGACGCGGTGACAGGAGCGCCAGGGCGAAGAGAGGCAGCCCTCCGTGTTTTGTCCCAACTTCTGTGACCGGCCACAAGAAAGGAAGGCGGGAGGCAGAAAGGCTGAGCAAGCAGTTTATTGCTCTGGGCAGCAGCTGAGACGGAGCCCCTAGGTGGGGTCCGCAGCTACTGCCAGCCCTTTGGGGGAAGGGTCTTATATAGATTCTAAACTCAAATTCCAAAGGGTGACTCATCGCTGTGTCCTTGATGTGAGGCCCCGTTCGTGATCACCTTCAGCTAGTCCCATCCAGGATGCAAGGCCCAGTTTATCACTGCCCTTATCCAGTCCCTCAGTACATCTCTGCACGTGGTCACTCCCAACACTCGGTCACGTCCGTCACGGAGAGTGGGGTGCTGCTCCTCAACTCGGCAGCACTGAGCCCACCGGCCCTCTTCCCTCCTGCTGCCTCGGGGTGTTGATAGACAGCTCAGGTGACCCCTGCTCAGTCCCAGTGAGTTCAAACAGGGCAGGCCCAGTCCAGCTGGGGGGCCCCCCCCCACCCCCCCCCCCCCAGCTCAGGAACTCTGCTCTTTCTGGTGCCATCAGGGAGGGTCCGACCTTATAAACTTTGAATAAATCTACCGAGGGGCAGGCCAGCTTCGGGGCCCCCCTCTCCTGGATGTCATTAGAGGGTGGGGAGCTCAGGAAGAGGCTTCGTGTCTGTCTGGAGGGGATGTTTAAACAAGGAGGTGGAGGGTCCCCCCTGGGGCTGCCTGGGTGGGGCGAGGCGCTGCAGAGCTGGCTCAGCTGAGGGCATCTTCCCTCCCGGCCTTCTGGTGCTTGTGCTTGGGTTTGTGTGGACCATCAGCGCACTCGACGGGCTGACCGGTGGGAGCTCCCGGCCCATTCTTGCTTACTGGAACACTTTATTTCTGACACATTTGGCTTGTAACCCTCCAATTAGCCAGATCTTTTTCGAAACACGGACCCATACTAAGCTTGCCCTAAACCTTAGAGAGTCAATTAGCTGCAGAAGCCACGCAGCCCTAACCCAGCGGTAACGGAGACACAGCGCCAGCGTGTGACGGGCTGGGGACTCCTAGACCCCAGGGAGACCCTGGCACGGAAGTCTGAGAAGTTCACCTGCGGTTCGCCTCTCTCTTGGGAATTATTCTTGGAGGACAATGTAGAAGTCCTTTCTGAAAGAGAGGAGGGTCAGTAAGTGAGGTTGTTCTGGGGGCACTTCTCTGTCGATACCAAACTTCCCACTTCCTAGTGGCTGTTTGTGCCAGGCCATCAGCTGGGCGTCACATCCAAAGTCTAAAAGAAAAGCCAGCTTCTTCCTTTTCCTCCTGAGCTGTTTAGAAATCACCTTTTCCTGGCTACTCAAGCTCCTTTCTCTCTCCTGCTGCTCCTAACCCTTCTTCCTTCCCAGATAAAAGCCCTGTGGTTCCGTGCTCGCTGTGGGGTGCAGCCACAGGCCTTGTGTTGGGTGTTGGGACTGTGAAGGCCAGCACCCTTGCTTCACAGATGGACTGGGCAGCGCGGTCCACCTGGTGCAGGCGACAGACAACCTGAATGTGCCCCCCAAGGGGTCTGGTGCAGCGGGGTTTTAGGGGGGTGTTTACAGGGTGCAGGACGCAGGGAAGCTGTTGGCAGGGGGCGGTTCGGGGTGTGGGGGCTACGACTTCCTCTAGCTTGCCACCCAACACCACCAGGGTAGGGTACACTTATGAACTCCCTTCTGACCTCAAAACCCCATGCTCGCATTTCAAGTTCTCCACCTTCGGCACCAATCGGAATTTCCCACCCTATTACCCACTTCTGTCCACGAATGGTCGAGCTCTTTCTCAACAGGCTGTGGAACCCCAAGGGGGATTTCTTCCACCCGTTACTGAAATTGCACTCACCCTGCAGGAGATTACCCCACCCCTCTCCGTCACATCACCGGGATACCTTCAGCAGCTGTCCAAGCGTCTTTCCTCGGCACCGAACACTCTGCTTCCATTTCTTTGACTTTGCCAGGTTTCCTTCGATTTCAAATTCCTGCGGTGTGAACCACACACCCCTCTCATTCTGAATGCATTTCGCTGAGGATCCTGTAAGACAGAGACGGCCCTTCCAGCATCCACCTCCACCTTTTGTGAGTCCACCCTAGACCTCTCGGCGTCTCTGGTCTTCCGTCTTCCTGGGTCCAGAGAGACTCCTTGTGATGGGAGGGCCGCACCAGGCATCTGGATCCCTCCTCTTGCCAATCAAAGGAAGCCAGGAAACCTGCCCTAACCCCTGCCAGTGTGGTGGGGGGGGGGTGAGGTGGGGGGAGGGTTGGCATTCGTGAGACACCTGCATGTTCCAGGTGTCAAGGGCCCTGGCCACTGAGATGTCTGAACTGGGAAGCCTGCTCTTCCTCCACTTGGAAAAGCTTCAAATTTCGTTCCTCACCAGCCCTTCATTTTCTGCTCCATAGCTGTAGGGTCCACTTCTTGGACAACGTCCCCCTGCTGGGGGGGGGTCTTCATCTCGGGGCCCCCCAGAGCAGAGATCAAGGAAGCTCACCTTGCTTCATTTTCTCCTTGTATAAAACCCCCTTCACGCCCCCACAGGTGACGGGAAGTATTGGAGAGTGGAAGTCCTCGCTTTTATCTTCAGGTTTTTCTGGAAGTCAGAGAGAAGGGCCGTGTTACTGGCTTCCCGCCATCTCCCTCCCTGGCTCCTCTGTGAGCTGAGGCCACAGTACAGCAAAGCCAATGGAAACAGCACGGGGGCACTCTCGGGGCCTGACAGGCAGGCCGAGGATGCGGGGGTCACTCATGAACAAAACCACGCCCGACACTACAGTAAATGAAAGAGCTTAGCGAAATTTAGGAGAAGATGCCTTTGGCATGTGTTTTTTTTTTTTTTTTTTTAAAGATTTATTTATTTGTGCATACAGAACTGGGGTACAGGCCAGAGGCTCAGGGGCGGCGAGAGGCCCCACCAGAGACAGACCGGGGAGCAGAACAGGCAGATGGACGAAGTACACTGCTGAGGGGAGCAGCGGGCGGGTCAGGAGAGGTCTGCCTCGCCATGTGGTGACCTCCGGGGCAGGCGGGAATCGAACTCATGCGGAAACAGCTTTAGATTCTCAGTGCTGCGCTTTAACCCGCTGCGCCCCAGGGAGGGCCTGGCGTGTGTTTTGATTCGCTACACCAAGACCACCCCTCGAAGCCTTTCGCCCCTCATGCTCTGCTCCTCCCTCGAGCTTCTGGAAGCTGCCTGCGTCCTCAGCGCGGGAGGAAAGGTCGAGCTGGGATCCGGTCACCGGATTCACCCAGGAGGCGCCAGGGAGGCAGACAGTGCGGGGCGGCGTGGGGCTTCGTCCCTGTTTCTTCCCTTTTATCTCCAACGTCCCTGTTTCTTCCTCTGTGAGTAAACACAGCCCCGGTTCCAGAGGAGAGTGCCAGAGGGATTTAGCAACTCAGAACCTCTCACAGGGATGGGGGTTCTCATTCAGGGATGCCGTGACAGACTCAATGTCACCACCACCTGTGACGGGGCGGGTGGTGATGGCCCCTGTTTTGGGTGGGGACCTGGGCTCAGAGCCACAGACCAGAGACTCAGCGCTCTGAGTGGGGGAGCGGGCAGCGGAATCCAGGCTGGACCGCAGGCAGCTGCGCTTTGCAGACCCAGACAGGCCGCTAGAAGAGTGCACGTCCTGTCACAGCACACGGACACCTGGGCTCACCCCCATCCCAGCCAGGGCGGGGTGCTGGAGTCACCGATGGACACCTGGACGCTGGCCGCCTCCCACTTTTCTGAGAGACCAGAGGCTTTTGTTTTAGGTCATGCCAGTCTTTAGCGCTGTCGAGTCTGTAAAGCCGCCAGTACTTGTCCCCGAGGGCTGAGTGCTAACAGGCGGGGCCGGGTCTTGCCAGTTGCCAGTTGTGGGGTCTCGCCCGTTCACGCTGCGCGGCGGCCGCACGGACAGAGGGTAGAGCAGCCCGGAACGAGCAGGTTCTACCTCGCAGGGGGATTTGCGGGCGTCCTTGCACCCACCGTCCAGCAGAGGGCAGCCAGGGCCGGCTTTCCGGCTCCAGGCGCGGGGCGCGCTGCGCACCGGGCACCTTTTTCCTAGCTCACACGAGCGCATGGCTTTGGCTTAGGGCAGAGCAGAACGTAGCCACACGGAGGAGTGGCTTGAGGAAACGCACTAAGCAAGGACATAGCAAAACGATGCTTCGCATGTGGATGCTCAGATCATTCACAGCAGACACTTGCCCTTGTTACAAAGCCCAATCTTGCTTCGGCTTAAAGGGGGAAGAAGAGCGATGTTTTATATATGTCGCGCCTGTCCACACCCTGTTGGAGGTGGGATAAAGCCCCAAGATTTACTGTGTCGAGTCACAAACAATGAAGCCAGGCATGGCAGGCGTGCCCCCGCGCGATCCTGGGGTTCAGGCCGGCTGAGACCCGCTGACGGTGGTTTACACACCGGGTTTTACACGCCGACACAGGACCACGGTGCGCTCACCCGCTCAATGTCCACAAACGATGACCCGAGGGCCCAGTGAGCCCGATGCCTGTTACACAAATAAAGTTTTATTGAAACACAGCCAGGCATGCTTGTTTACCGATTTGTCTTTGGCTAGTTTGACACGAGTGGTTGCCACACCGACTGGGTGGCCAGCAAAGCCGAGGCTGGCTACTCGCTGGCCCTGTCCAGACAAGGTTTGCCCAGCACTGATTAGAGCAATGGCTCACATCTGCATCACGAGTTAGCTGAGGCTCACATCACCGATTCTCGGAACCCCGGGGGAAAAGAAGACCTTGGTGGTGCAGAGACAATAGAAGACACCAGGCTCTGAAAGCTCTGGGCTCTTGGCGACCCTCTTACGGCTGCAAGTCAAGTCCCTAGGCCCCTGCTACCAGGCCGGGCTCCCGGCCTCTAGCAGGGACACAGCCCAGGGTTTAACAGTGCGAATGAAGCACTGCGGGAAACAGTCTTTGCCTTAATGCTGGACACAGGTAAAGGCGGTGGAGGAGGGAGAGGGGCCTTAAATGATATTAAATGCAGCGAAATGGCAAAACTCTGATCACTGGGATGTGTTAATTTAAAACATGAAAATGCATGGACAAGAACACTTCAGCGAGTGGCGTTAGAATAACCTCAAGGGGCCTCAGGTCAGTGCTGTGCGCAGCAGGTCAGAGCACAGCACTGAGAAGCTAAGGCCGCTTCCGCAGGAGTTTGATCCCCGCCTGCCCCAGAGGTGACCACAGGGTGCGGCAGACCTCTCCTGACCCGCTGCTCCCCTCAGCAGTGGACTTCACTGGCCTGCCTGTTCTGCTCCCCACTCTGTCTCTCTTTTGTGAGAAGGGGCCTTCGTGGTGGCCTGGTGGCTGGGCTAGGGTGGCCATGCTCCAGGGCACTGGTGGCCCTGCTGTGGAGGGCCTGGTGCCCAGCAGGGAGGGGGCTTGCCTCTTGCCGCTCACCTCGTGGGAGCCTTTTTTTCTGTCTCCTGTTTTCCTGTCTCTCTGTCTCTCTCACCGCCCCTGCACCTCTGGCCTGTACCCCAGTTCTGTATGCATAAATAAATACATCTTTAAAAAAAACCAGAATAACCTGAAGGTGTCGCCCTTGAGCCGATGCCACTCCTGACACTGGGTTTCTTGGCCTGCAGAGAGGAGACTGGGCTGGGGAGCGTGAGGGGGGCTCATGGCGCTGACCCCGGAAAGGCTGGTGCTCTCCCCACACCCCACCTGGGTTCCTCCCACCTCTCCCCCTTTACAAACCACCTAGCCCACCTCTGTGGCCCCAGACGGCGGCCTTCCAGCCTTACCTTCCGGGCCAGGCCTGGGGGCACCCTGGCTCCCGGCCTTCCGGGTCCTCCTCGCCACCCGCAGCTCCCTGGCTGAGTCATCCTTTCTGGAAGTTGCCCGAGACCCCACTTGGTGGTTCTCGTGGCTTCCGTGGCCAAGTGAGGCTGCCAGGGCCAGAGGCGATGTGTCAGTAGTTTTAATTGGGGTCCCAGTGACTCCATGCCCACTATAAATAACTTCATTTCTCACAGCCCCAGTCCCCCCATTTCAGGAGATCTCTGGGACCCCACAACTCACTTTCCCTCTTGCTATTCCCTATTCCTCTCCGATCCTGTCTTTCTCGCTCCCCCAGACTCATCACTCCCCCTGTTCTCTTTCCCTGTCCCGCCTCCGCCTGGCTGACACGTGACGTGTCCAGGGGAATCTAGACTCCAGCCAGGGCGGGGCCTGGCGCCCTCCTCACCCTCCTCACCGCTGGTGAGGGACACACGCCCTTGGCGTCGGCACTGGCTGGCCTGTTCCTCGCTCTGGTCGCAGGAACGCACGGGTCCCTGTTACCACAGAGTCTCTGGTGAGAGCCAAAGTTGGCTGAAACCTAGAACTCCTCCAAGGAGGCCACTTGGGGAGCGTTTCCAGACAGAGCGCACAGGGGCCCTGCTGACTGCCCACGTGCCCACGTGGGGTCACGTGTCCCCAGGGCTGTGAGGCCCAGAGGGCCCCTCTCGACCCTGACCCAGTGGCAGAGGGAGGGGATGTAGCGACCAGAAGGTCAGGAGGAACCCCAGGGCTGTCCCGTCCCTGCAGCCACCCCCCAAAACTGCCCGGGTCACGGAGCAGGTGTGGGAGAAGCCGGCCGGGCTGCCGCGGCGTGGGGGGCTGAGCGTGGGCCTGGGTCTGCTCTGTCGGCCCCTCCTGGCTCTGCCCCTGAGCTGGACACAGCCCTAACCTGAAGCTCCCCTCGGGCCTCCTGCCCCAGCCCCTCCTCCACGGGAAGCGCCAGGATGCCAGTTAGGGCAACATGGCTGTGGGGCGCCTTCTTTTGCGAGAAGGGGCTTCGTGGTGGCCTGGTGGCTGGGCCGGGTGGCCGTGCTCCAGGGCACTGGTGGCCCTGCTGGGGAGGCCCTGGCGCCCAGCAGAGAGGGGGGCTTGGCTCTTGCCGCTCACCTCGTGGGAGCCTTTTTTTCTGTCTCCTTTTGGAACTTGACCAGATGCAGCGTTTTCTCTTCTTTTCTGAAAGACAAAATAAAATTGTTTCTCATGGCTATCAATATTGATCTGCATGCTTGAGAGATAAATACATTTACATCAAACTTTTTCCATCTTCCTGTCATTTAAGGGGGCCCAGAAAGCCATGGATGTGAAAAATCATCCATTTTACTTGGAAATGAGAAAAGGGTCCTTTGTCTAAAGGAGTATCAGATATTAACCTGTTAACATTTAAAATGCACTTTGTTCTTTTCAAATTAATAACACATGCTTGCAAGTATAGGATATACAGTTACGAAAGATTATCTTAGCCAAAACTCAAGACCCAAAATGACAGAAGATGAACAGATCTGTTTACAAATTAAAATCACAATTTCCGCATTTCAAGAAATGCCCTCACAACATTGAAATAAAAAAAAAGAGGGTAATATTCCAACATGGAACATTAGGCTAATACCTTTGATCGAGTGAACATGACTTAAGTGATAGATAAAAGACCAAAAAAAAAAAGCAGTAAATAAATAATTTTCAAAGGTGGTAAAACGAAAGACTAGAAATAAAAAAGACTGGGAGAGTGGGCGAGAAAGGATTCTTTGAAATTAATTGAGAAATGCGACGTTTACTTCACAGCCTCTCTGACCAGTGACCAGGAGATGCAGCCAGGGGAGGCCACGAAATGGTCACGGAAGCAAAGTGCAACCTGCAGTGTCCCTCGCGGGGGAGGGGCCCCTCCTGCCTCTGGCTGCCAGGCGGGGTGCTGGCTGGACCCCGAGAAGGGGCTGCCACACCTGAGGATGGTGGTGCCACTGCCAGAAGGCGCCGGGGCGCCCCGGCTCCCACAGCCCGCTCCACGCAGGAGAGAGCACGGTCCCTCACGCCAGCCGCTGTTTGGGAAGGGTTTGCTTAGTTCTCAGACACACACGAGGAGCAAATCTAAATGGCTGCTGCAAAGTATGGACTTTTTCTAGAATGAAAAAAAATTCAGTCAACAAAGAAAAAGAAGTTAAAGCACGGTTGCAGTGAGCACACCTCTTTTCTGGCTTGCAATGCAAACTCTTGTAGCTGGAAGGGCATCACGCCTCCATCAACATCAAATCCACCCCAACGGACACCAAGCAGATTTCTTATACTTACGCTTTTTCCCAGGAGCCTGACCCAAAGACACTTTACTGCCATGATCGGCAAGGTCTGCAGAAAAATAAGAAAGTGCTCTGTGAGGAAGCGAGCCTTACCTTGCGGGGCCACGTCCCTTTCAGACAGCCCCGTGCTGGCCGGGCCTGCCAGTGTCACTCGGTCCCTTCCTCTCTACGGAACACTGTCAAGTGAGTCAGGTCCCTGGAAGAGACTGTTAAACGATCGCTTGTATGCAAGATCATCCCGCTCGGTGATTCTGACCCCTGAGCTATTCCTCCTTGAGGGCCACACGTGGCCCGCTCTGAGTCTGTGGCAGGACACTGGGCCCAGCTAAGGAGCACGTCTGGCTCCATCCTCACCTGGGGTGTCGGCAGGCTGTGCCCGGAGGTGGCTTCAGCGAGCAGTGAGTAAGTCGCTGTCCGCTAGGATATTTGTGTTTACAGTGAAATGTTTTCCTTTGATTTTCCCAGGGGGTGAAGTGTCTGGACACAAAAGTTCTGTGTGGGCTTCAGGACACGCTGGGCCCTTCTCTGACGCTGGCAGCCTTGTCAACATAACAATTAGCATGCTGGCCAATCTCTCCCTTTGAGACTTCGGCTTAAATTGCTCATTCTTCCTCTCCTCCTATCTTGCCTTTGCTCTGTTAATCCCTTCACTCTCTGGCGATGGGGGGAAATGTGCTTTCAGTCAACTATGAACCAGAATGCTTCTCGTAAGGAAGTCAATACGGAATGGGTTTGCTTCTATCTTGATGTATATTTGAAGACTGGGAAATCCCAGTGGTCCTCTTATGGTGGGATAAAAAGAAAATCCTACAAGTCTTTATAGCTTTTAGAAATGCAGAGAAGTTTTACAGGACATTATCAGTGTGTTTCCACTGAAGCACCAGGGCCGTGTCTGGGGATCCCGTGGGCTGTGAGCCACCGTTTCCCAAATATGGTGATATTATAAAGCCTTGCATGAGTACAAAACTCATTCAGAATGCAATCTGTGATAACTCATTTATAGGAACAGAAAGTTTGACTATATTACAGGTTATGAAAGTTATATGAAAAGTTCAATGATGGGGCTTCAGATGCTCGAGGAACCAAGAGGCCACCCTGATTCCATGTGGCATCAGGATGGGTGTCCACTGGTCTCGCCGAAGCGCTTTGACAAGCCTGCACTTTTCAACGCTAGACCCTGTGAGGCTGAGTCTTCTTCACCCACCCCAAACTGGTTGAATGCAGAAGTAGACGGAGACCCAATAGAGGGCCCTCCTGGTGACGGAGGGGTTAAAGCGCAGCACTGTGATCTATCACAATATCACAACCACTGCAGTACAAGTTCGATCCCCGGCCAGGGAGGTGACCCACAGGGCACAGCAGACCTCTCCTGTCTCCCTGCTGCTCCCCTCAGCAGTGCATTGCAGATGATCTGCTTGTCCTGCTCCCCACTCTGTCTCTGGGGGAATCCTCTCACCCCCCTGCACCGCTGGCCTGGACCCTAATTCTTGTATACATAAATTAATCTTTTTTTTTTTAAAGATTTATTTATTTGTTCATACAGAACTGGGGTACAGGCCAGAGGCTCAGGGGCGGCGAGAGGCTTCACCAGAGACAGAGTGGGGAGCAGAACAGGCCAAATGATGAGGTCCACCGCTGAGGGGAGCAGCAGGCGGGTCAGGAGAGGTCTGCCACACCATGTGGTCACCTCCGGGGCAGGTGGGAATCGAACTCATGCGGAAGTGGCTTTAGTTTCTCAGTGCAGTGCTTTAACCCGCTGAGCCACCAGGGAGGGCCCTACATAAATAAATCTTAAAAAAAAAAGGAACCCAATAGACTTTGAATAAGTAAGACCTTACACTTAGAGATTTGCAAATATGTAGAATGATGGCACTCTCCTAACCACTTTTCTTACTTGGAAGTCCATTTCTTTTTCATAAAAATAGGCTCTTTATGTTAGCAAGTAATTGCTATTACTTATTTTAAAAGAATTAATAAATACATAGCCATTTTTAATGATCACGTTTTTATGAAGTATGTGCATCTGCGTATAGACAGCTACGTGTGTGCATACACAGATATATCTATGCACACACACAACATCCAGTTCTTTGGGGGCCTCCACGATCTCTGAGTGTGAAGGAATCTTAAGATTAGAAGTTTGAGAGCTGCTGAGCTTGCAGCTACCCGTGACACCTCCTCAGACGGACCGTTAGTTGTCTCCTCTCCATCCCTCTTCTGCAGGTCACAGCCCTTCTCTTCAGCCCCTGCCTGCTTCCGAGAGACCTCCCCACCACTGCACCCCAGACGGCGGACCCACCCAGCCTTACCTTCTGGGCCAGACGGGGTGCCCTGCCTCCTGGCCTGGGCCCTGGTCACCACCCGCGGCTGCCCGGCCGAGTCGTCCTGCCTGGGGGTCGCCTGGGCCCCTACGACGCGCTGCTCTTGGCTTCTGTGGCCAGGTGAGGCTGCCCCTGCAGGTCATGTTTGCGATTAGCTTCAACTGGGTCCCCCCAACACCTGATCGTGACCTCTCTCTACTGCCCGGCTCCCACCCTTTGAGTTCTCTGGGCCCCAGTGCTCACCGCTCTTTCTGATTTTGTATCTGTCTTGTCCACATTTCATTTCAGGTCATTTCCCTCCAAAATCAGCAGCTGGCCTCATTTTCTGAACCAGCAGCTGACATCAAATGTACAAATTTGGAGGAACCCCAGAGCAGTCGGGCTTACTTCTTGACTCTTGATGGTGGGTCCCCGATGCTGGGAGGTGGCCATGTGGTCTCTGTACAGGACTGTCCATGTGGTCTCTGTACAGGACTGGCCTTCCCCATCTCACCGTCAGCCCTCACCCAGGCCCAGGCGCCTGCGTGGCATCGGTGCCGAGAGGGCTGTCCTGCTCCTGTTCTTTTCTGCTTGCAATCACCCTTCACGTAGCACCACGCTTGACCTTGCCAGGCCCACTGGAGCGTGTCCCTCCCTGGTCGGATCTGGTCGACCGCTCCCCACTGCATTAGGGTAAAATGGAACTTCCCTGGGAAGAGCACACGGGACTATGGTGATAGCACACGCGTGAGGAGGTGGTGGGAAGTCCATGGGGATGACAACCGAGATGGAAAATGTACAAAGTGAAGAATGATGTAAAAACTATATAAAATTTGGGGCCTCCCTGGTGGTGCAGCGGGTTAAAGCGCAGCACTAAGAAGCTAAAGCCGCTTCCGCATGAGTTCGATCCCCGCCTGCCCCGGAGGTGACCACATGGCGCGGCAGACCTCTCCTGACCCGCCCGCTGCTCCCCTCAGCAGTGTGCTTCGTCAGTTGGCCTGTTCTGCTCCCCACTCTGTCTCTGGTACCACACCTGCACCTCTGGCCTGTACCCCAGTTCTGTATGCATAAATAAATAAATATTTAACTATGTATATATATAATTAAAAAAATAAAACAGAACGTCCCTCCCCTTGGCCAGCAGGCACGGGCAGCCTCCGGGCCTCAGTCTCCTCTGTGTTGTCTTACCTCTTGGGAGGCTTGTTTTCTGGCGCCTCTTTCTTGAACTTGAACAAGGACTTCTTTTCTTCTTCTTCCCTAAAACGAGGGCACGAACGGTCCCATGTCAATGAGTTTCAGTTTGTACTTTTGGTCTTGACACCAGGGAGCTGCGTCACTAGCAGCCTGAAGGAGAAGTCGGCGGAGAGGAGCAGAGGAAGGGTTGGAGAGGGTGTCGGACGGGCCTGTTGACCCCATGGACGTGAGTGTGGGGTGACAGGGGTGCTGGCGTTTTGGTCCCTAAACCGGCCTTGTGATCTGCTGGGTGGTGGCAGGAGGTCACAGACCGTGGTGCATAAAAGACGGAAGTGAGCTTCTCACTTGAGTGGCTGAGACCCGGAAGGGACGTGGGGGCGGGGCTGGCTGGGCGGGGCAGGCCGCTGGTGCCCACCAACTGCCATGAAGGGCTTAGAAGAAGGTGTCGTGGGCAGGATCTGGGTAGGTCCTGGGAGCTTCGGGCACGAGCTCATCAGAAAGGCAGAAAACACCTTTGCGTTCACCCACCTGGCACTTAGAGGAGAAAGACACCCCTCTTACCTTTCTTGTGAGTTTTGGGGGGCACCTCTTGGGGCTCTTTTGACTCATGTGGTTCAGGAGAATCTTCTCTTATCACTGAAAAGAGTACAATTCAGTTCAGAGTGTGGTCTGGCTGAGAGTGCAAGGCAGATCGATGGGGGCAGAGCGCAGTTTTGGGGTCTGCCGTGTGTGGGGTTCCTGGCTCCGTCTTGGTTTGATCCACAGGTTACTGGGGCCAGCATAACAGTCACAGTGAAGCAGGGTGATTGTTCCCAAGGGGCTCAGTCTCAAGAGGGTCCCTTACTCCACAGAGGAGAAATGTGGGGTGCTTGGTGGGCACCCCCCTCAGGGAAGGAGGCTGAGAGCCTGGAGAGCCGGCCCCCTCAATCCTGGTGGCCACAGGAAGAAGAACGATTTTGCATTTAAAAATACATGTCGTTGTTCAGCTGTCTGTGATGGGTACTCTTAAAATTCTGTGTCTGTGATTCTTATCCCTCGAGAATCTGCGAAGGAGGCCAAGTGTCTCCTGTTCCTGAACAAAGGCGGCCGCGGGACGCGGAGGCTGGCCTGTACTGGCTGGCACGGCCGGCAGCAAATAGGCTCAGGCTCCTTTTGGCTGCGCTAACACAGACAGAGGGCGGGAAGCCAGAAACATCCAGGTCTGCTTCAGGAAGTGTCAGTTTCTCATCTACAACACCACGAGTTCATCTCGAAGCTGGCTCCTGAAGAACTGGGAGGCAGCCAGAGGTCTTTGGACTTTTTAATAAGTAGTTGCATTTCAAGTTAGGTTCGTAACATCAACTCTTAAGAGTCAAACATTACAGAAGGGGCGGGGTTGACTGTGGGAGTCCCCTACTTCGGAGTAAAGGTCACTGGTTCAGCCCCAAGCCTGTTTCCGTTTGCTTCACCCTCCTGGAGCGGCCTCAGAGAGTGACTGCGTCCAACACTCCCTCTGGGCTGGCTCCTGCCCCTTCCCTGGGCGCCCTCCACAGCCCTTCCTGGAACGTGCTCTCCCTCCGCAGACCCCCTGGGGGTGTCCCGGCTTGGCTAATAGTGGGGTCCTGTCCCTCTCTACCGCTGTCCTCTCCTAGTCCAGCTCCCTAGACTCATCGACCTTGTGCTCCACTCAGGAACTCGGGGCTCCTGCCTGGTCTCCCCGAGGGCTGCTGAGTGGCCGAAGCCTGTCTTCCCTAGGGACCCGAAAACTAAGGCAAGCGAGGCTGTCCAGGTCAGGCTTACTTGGCACAGGGCTTGTGGGGGCCGTGGTGGGCATCTCCACTGCATCTTCTGCATCTGTCATGGGGGGGGCTGGTTTGTCACTGGACACTGAGCAGAGGAAGAAAGGGAATTTTAGCTCCTCGGACCAGCAGACAGGCACCAGGAGGAGGAGCGAGAACAGTCTGTTCTAACCACTGAGCCAGAGAGGGCCAAGCCCGGCGAGGGCAGGACCGCGGGGTGCGGACCACGGCCACCCCGTCAGCTACTTGCTAATTCCGTGGCGGTCCTCGCTGGCGGCTTTTATCCTGGAATTCTAGAAAGTGGACCCTTCCCTTGTTATTAGCTTCTGGGTCATGTCAAGCTACACGTTTGGGTGAGCACCGTCTGGACCCGAGGGCCCCTCCTCCCAGCTCTGGAGGCCCAGCCACACCGTCCACTCAGGCGGCACCCCGCCACTGCAGGGCTCATGCCGGGGCAGCCTCCTTCCGGTGACGGGTCGGGGTACAGCATGAGAAGTCACAGCAGGCCCTGCGGACTTTCAGCGTTTCTGATGGCTGCAAGGACAATCCCCTTAGGATCCAGCCACAGAAACACGCATATGGCCAAGAGGAATGGCCAGACCCTGTCGCTCAGGGCCGTGGGCTGCGATGGCCCGGGCCAGGATGCAGGACACCTCGGCCGCAGCTGGCCCCGGCAGCCTTCCGACGCGCGGTCCCGTCTCCCATCAGTGCACATGCCACCACCTCCCCTTTGTCACCCAGTTCTTTCCCCTGGTTCCTGCCCTCTGGCTGGGCGGGTCAGCCCGGGAAACACTACCTTGCACGGTGTCAGGGGGCGTGCTGGGCTTCTCTGGGGAGTCTCCATCATTCACTTGGGACGTGAGGTTGTCTTCGGTCATTGAAGAGAGGAAGAGACATCATTACAGGGTGTCAGGCCGGGGGTGACCGGGAAGAGCCCAGGGCAGGCTGTCCACTGGGTCCAAGAGCAGGGGACCGGTGGTCCAGGCGGGGCAGCTGCTGTTCTGGGCTCCAGGACTTAGCCAGGCCCTGTGACCCCTAATCCGTTGGTAGAGTTGCGTGTGGCAAGTGGGTACATGGGAAACGGATCAAGGAAAATCCGAGACCCTGGCATTCAAGACCCGGTCACAACACACTGGACGGGGGTGCCTGGCAGAGGGCACCCCATCCTCACCTGGGGTGAGCCTCTCATCCCGGTGGATTCCAGGGTGATCTGCGGCCGGAAGGGCGGGGCCGGGCTGCTCAGCCCAGGCCTCAGCGCTGTGCGGCTTGGCTACTGCAGGCCCAGTGACGGTGGCCAAGGACTGGGGGTTGAGGCTGGAAGAGGGGTTCTGGGGAGGGGGCAGTGGCAGCAGCCTGGGCTGGCGGGAGCTCCCTTCTGCGGCGTCATCCAGGCTGAGGACGGCTGTGGGTCTGCTCCAGCCTCCGTGGGAACTGACCACTGGAATTGGCGAAGGAACTCAGGTCACGCCTTGGAGTCTCTGAATTCTTCGGCAAAGGGGGCTTTCTTATACGTGATTTCCAGGAGCACAGGGGCGGGGAGTCATTCACTCTCCCCGAGGAGCGTAAGCCAACTCACCCTTATCATCGCCCACATGGTCCCTTCCTATCTGGTTTACTTGCTTGGCCATTCAGTGATTTAAAAACGGCACCAGGTCTCAGATCTAATACCATAGTGGCTTCACTCATAAAGTTGAGTTTGCCTTGCACTAGGGGTCTAAGTTCTTTAATTTTGGCTTCAGAATGAGGACAATTATATACAGAGCTGTAATTGAACAGCTGTCCCTGTTTTCAGAAAAAACAAAACACATTCCACCTCCCTGCAGCAAGTAAGAGAAAATATTGATTTCTTCACATGGTTTCTATTCTCCTTTCTGCTTATTTCTGCATTTGCAGCTTTCATGCCTCAAAATGCTCTGGGATGCCCCAACTTTCTGCTCACCTCAAAATCCCCATGTCAGAGCTTGCTTCTTAACTTCTCAAAGAGAAAGTGGGGGGGGGGTGCATTTTCCACAGGGTGGAAACCAGAAAGGCTCCACCCGCCTCCCGCCCCTGTAGCCCAGCGTCGCCCAGGAAGCCAGTACCGTTTCTGAAGCTCCTGAGAGGCACCGCCAGGTTAGGGTACTCGTACAGGTGCAGCGAGCAGAACACCGTCTCCAGGACTGACGCGCTAAACGTCTTCTCCAGTTTGGCGAGAATGTTGTAGATCACTTTGGACACAGGGACCAGATTTCTACAGGCTTCCAGAGACTCCTTTAGGCACGGAACAAAGGATCATGACACATGATTATAAAATGGCAGGAAGTTCATTACTATTATGATACTCTGCGGTTTTCAAAGATGTTAGAAAGCTACTGGGGTCTTTGCAGAAGCAATTCGCATACATCGCATGGTCAAATTTCCTGAGGTAGAGAAGGCACATGTTTACTTTTGAAACTTCACCTTCCCTGGGATGTGGATGTCTAAGTCTAAATATTTTAGGCTTAAATATTTTAGGACTAAATATTTTAGGCTTCTTTAAAATCAGTTTGCTTTATGAAGCTTTTTCTTTGTTTTGCATTGCTGTGGGCCTCCCTCTTTAAGGCACAGCACTGTGAAGCTTGGCGCGGCCGCCTCAGTGAGAGTTCGATCCCCGTCCCAGAGGTGACCCACATGGCCAGCAGACCTCTCCTGGCCCGCCCGCTGCTCCCCTCAGCAGTGTACCTCGTCGATCTGCCTGTTCTGCTCCCCACTCTGTCTCTGAATCCTCTCACCACCCCTGCACCTCTGGCCTGTACTGTGGAACGCAGCTAAGCGGTCGCCATTGCAAGATGGCGCCGAGTTCCGGCCCGCCGCACACACAAACAACTTTGACTCAAGGCCGCTTGCCGGAGTCTGCCCAGCAACATGCCACTGCCAATCCGAATCTGCCACGTAGTCCATGAGGGTTCACGCCCCTTGCGTAGTGTATAAATATGCTGGCCTTTCTCCTTTCGGGGCCCTTCACCCTCAGACCATCTTCAACCAAGCAGCGCTTCAATAAACTGTGATAGAGGAAGAATCCTGAGTTCCGTGTTTCATTCCGCGCTGGACGCGGGTTGCAACACTGTACTCCAGTTCTGTATGCACAAATAAAAAATTAAAAAAAAAAAGAAGACGACGAAGGAGAATTGCTGTGTAGGCCAAAGGTGCTGGATTCACCAGACAAAAGTGGGGAGCAGAACAGACGGACCCACTGAAATCCACTGCTGAGGGGAGCAGCGGGGAGACAGGAGGGGTCTGCTGTATCCTGTGGGTCACTCCCTGGCCCAGGATAGAACTCAGGCAGCAGCAGTGACAGTGCTGAGACCTGGCCCCAGGCCACCTGGGAGACCCCATGAAAGCTGTTTTTCAGTGTCTTTGAAGGAAGAAATGTTAAGGGAGGAGTGGAATCAGAGGCTGCTACTGGGTAATTTATCCTGTAAGGCTCTGAGCAGAACTGTCAGGCAGTGGATCTAAAAGTGGGCCCCAAGTGGCGATTTTGTTGATCACTCGGTAACTGCTGCTCTGCTGTGTGTTGGACCTGAGATGACTCGAGCAGGGACACCATCCAGAGAGCTCCTCTTGCTGAGAGGGGCCAAAGCAGGAACGCGGCAGTGGGGCGCTGGCGCAGAAAAACAGTTGCTGAGCACCTCCTGAGGGCGGCAAGCACCCTTGGGTGCACAGCACTGGGGAAGGTCAGCGTGGCGCCCCTCCGGAGGAGGGACGCGGCCGCTGGAGAAGGTGGGTCGGAGGTGAGAGGCACAGCTGAGAGGAGCACCTATGGCTCCTGGCAGGGCGCTCGAAGGGAAACCGGAGGTTACTACGCAGGGCTGCGGGTCTCAGTAGAGGAGCAGGTCAAGGAGTCTCCCGCGGAGAGGGCTGGACTGCGGTCAGAGGGCCATCGGAGGGGCGGGCCAGCCGGGCCCTGGGGAAGACACTCTCTCACTCCTGGCACTTCCATGGACCTGAGCCGGGACATGCTGGGCAAACAGTGCCCGGTTTTTTTTTTTTGTCTTTTTTTTTTTTAAAGATTTATTTATTTGTGCACACAGAACTGGGGTACAGGCCAGAGGTGCAAGGCGGTGAGAGGCTTCACCAGAGACAGTAGGGAGCAGAATAGGCTGACTGACTGAAGTGCACTGCTGAGGGGAGCAGCGGGCGGGCCAGGAGAGGTCTGCCACGCCATGTGGTCACCTCCAGGGCAGGGGCGGGGATCGAATTCATACTGAAGTGGCTTTAGCGCTTAGTGCAGTGCTTTAACCCGCTGCGCCACCAGAGAGGGCCCAAACGGCCCTTTTTATCCATGGAGCTCACGATGTCCGCCTTGCTTCACATTGGGTTAACTGTGGGTAGCAGGCTCTTGGGGGCTGGATGGTGCCCCTAGTGGGCTGAACGGCCCCTCCTCTCCACCCCCAAAGATATGCCCACTTGAAATCTCAATGTGGCCTTTCTTGGGAGGGCTTTGTAGAAATAATTAAGAGAAAAATCTTCTGATGAGGCCATCCAGGATTAGGGCGGACCCTCATCCTAATAACGAGTCTGGATAAAAAAAAAAAAAGACAAAACGCAAAGACGAGAAGGTGATATGAGCCGTAAACAGCAAGGAAACACTGCTTCTGCAGGCCGGGAAGACTGCTGGCCCCTCCAGAAAACAGAAAACATGTTCGGCAACGAATTCTCCCTCAGAGCCTCTAGAAAGAGCCAGCCCTACCAACGATTTAATGTAGACTTCTGGGCTCCAGAACCATAGGGCATGAATGTTAGTGGCCTGAAGCCACCTGGGTGGTCATGGCAGCTCCCGCCACACCCGCTCTCCGCCCTTGAACATTCTGGACTGGCCTTCAAGCTCTGGGAGCACTGCGGGCTTGGGTCTGATTGCAGGGCGCAACAGTCAGGACGCCTGGTGGGGGCTGGGCGCCCTGGGAAGCAGCCGGCACCACTCACCCTGTACAAGCTCTCAGTGATGAAGCCGTTGTCCAGCAGGCTTTCGACAAAGGGGAACGGCTTGTGTATGGCATAGGCCATCTCCAGCTTCTTGCATGTGAAGTGCTGGCGAAGGGCCTCCTCCAAGGGCCGGGTCATGGCGAAAACTCTGTGGCAGGGGCACAAGAAGAAAGAAGAGTCAGTACGGAGTTACTAAGTACAGCTCTCTGCAGGCAGCAGTCTTCTAGAAACAGGTATTTTGTCCCGAGGGCGTCTGCAAGCGAAAGCGACTCACAGGTAGAGACAGATGCCACCTTCAGCTAGAGTGGGGGACAGAAGGGACACATGTGTGGCACAGAGCCCCGGAGAGGCGGCGAGTCGTGGGGCGGCAGAGACTGCCAAGAGCTAACACTGACTGGGTGCTTTCTGTGTGCCAGACTTGGGGGAGTCAACTTCCTCTCACCACAGACTTTTGCATTTTCTGCATCCATGCAAGATTATAAAAAAAAAAAAAAATGACCATTTTCAGGGCAGGAGAAAATATGAGGACTTCTGTGAGACGAGAATTCACCAATGGCGTTCTTGACAAATTATCTGGGAAAGGGAAGCACTAAGAGTTAATTGAGACAATGAAGCAAACATAGATCCCATTTTTCCAACTTCATCTGGTGTTGGAGAACAGAGCTGTGATTCTCGAGGAATTTGTAGGGATTTGATCCCACGGACAGCTTGGGACTTGTTGCCTCCCTCACTCCTGTAAGTGGGACCAACAAGATGAACTACCCAGTAGTCTGTATACACACACGGCCACACACGGCTGGCATATGTACCCATATGTAACTGCATGTACACGTATGTGCGTGTCTATACATAGTACATGTGAAAAGAATCATTCGCTAGGGAAGATCCCACAGAGCTTCCTTCCGTTAGCTGGGAAGGACGCGCCGACACCAGCTCCCGGCCACAGAGGCGGGAAAGGAAACCTGCTAGGAGGGGCTCTGGGTCACCCCCAGCATGCCCGACTGCAGCCATGCTCAGAGCAGGGCATCTCTGGTCCTCACTCTTCATCTGCTACGACTGACGAGGATGAAGTGCGCAGAGGAAGTCAGTTACTGCTCCAGGGAGCGCAGCCCAGCAGAGCTGTCTGGCCCGAACCCCATTTCCACCGATGCCTGCTTCTCCTCTAGGGCTGCTCAGATTTTTATCATCTTTCCTCCTGTCCAAGTGGGGTCTCTTCTTAGGAGCACAGAAGTGTATATGCCTTAACAGCGACCCCTCACGTAGAACAAAAAGCCAAGCAAAAACAAGCAAGTGAGTCAAATATAAGCATATAAAAAACTGGTAACTCCCGATTAGCCAGAGGGGCATCCAGGTCCATACGGACATGTTTGCCTATCGAGTCCACTGAGATGGAAAATCATCATCATCATCCGTGAGTGTCAGACTCTGCCACTAGGGATTCATTTCAATGCCACAGCCATGAGTGGGCTTAGAGAAAAAATGCAGACGTTCGAGATTCCCTCGTGAGGATATTAAATGTACCCCCTTAAGCTCACTTCTCTTGCAGCTCCCCACCACCTCCAGCCGTGCGTGGGGGCTCCTGTCTCAGGTCCGGACGAGGTGGGTGGGGGTGCGCAGAGGCGCGCACGCGCGCTCGTCATCTCCCCCCCCATCCCCAGGGACTTTAGGGGGGAACAGCGGGGCTGTGTGTCTCCTCCTCCACCCCCAACCCCCAGGTCTGTCTTTTTTTTTTTTAAACTGTCTCTACTAACCCCCAGACTCCCCTTTCCCATGTCTGGAAAACACTATGTAGGAGAGACGCTCACACGTCCAACAGTGGCGTTTCCACACTAACTACACGCCCGATCCCCCAAAGGAAGAGTAAGGTGAGGGACGAGGGCGCACCTGGGGGATGGGGACGCTCCTGCCCCTTTCGGGTCTGGCGCGGCGTCTCCCTCGAGTCTGCTCGGCGGGAGCGGCGGGCTGGAGGGCGCGGGCCGGAGCCGCGGGCTTCCGCGGAAAGGAAACCGAAAGAAGCCGGGGCTGGGGGCGGGACGCCGAAGGCGGGGCCGGAGACGCCGCGGGACCTCACCCGGGGCCCGTGGGGTGGGGGCTTGCGCCGCCGCCGCCGCCAGGACCTGCCGGGACAGGTATGCACGGCGTGGGCGAGGACCAGGGGTGCAGCCCCCAGTCCACAGATCCGGGGGTGCCGGTGAGGGGGCAGCATGCCCGCTCCTCTCCCCACCCCACCCTCTTCCTCCCGGACCCTTTGCGGTGATGCAAACGTGCCGGAATCACGTCCTGATGGTGTGCAGTGACCCAGCTGGATACTTTTTGTAGAAGTCGCCCCATCTTCTAGAAAGCAAACAGAAGCCCAAAGGGCCAGGGGGTACCTCAGGAATGCCTGTATTTGTCCAGACAACATAGAAAAAAAAATAAGAAAGTGGAACGAAACGGAGCCTGGGTGTAAACCGAAATCTCGGCGAGGTCAGCAGACCTGCAGGCAGGAAAGTGGCCGAGAGCCAGGCGGGCAGTTGGTCGAAGGCAGAGGCAGGGCAGGAGAAGATTCTAGAACAGCCACTACTGCAGGGGAGGCAGGAACGTCCCCACGCCCCTTTCAGTGAATTCTAACGAACACTGTGCTTAGGGGCTGTGAAAACTCCCCCAACTGGAAATCTGTGTAACTTGACCGAATCCGGGGTTCCTCTCACCAGGGCATCCTCATCTGACCCCTCAGAAAAATGGTGAGACGCCATCGTGGCACCCAAAGGCTATGACTCAAGGCTGACCTGCAGGAGCGAGACGAGACTCCTCCCGGGGTTCCTGTGGGAAGGGAAGCAGGAGTGGAGACAGCAGGCACGTCGGTCAGAAAGTAAGTAGACAAAGACCCCGGGCTTCTCGCTGGGACCGGGGGGCCCCCATGATGCGGGAACCGCAGCCGTGTCACACACATGCCACCATCTGGGGCCTTGACACGCTGTGAGGTTTTTTTTTTTAATTTTTTCAAGATTTATTTATTTATGCATACAGAACTGGGGTACAGTCAGAGGTGCAGGGGTGCAGGGGCGGTGAGAGGATTCACCAGAGACAGAGTGTGGAGCAGAACAGGCCGGCTGACAAAGTCCACTGCTGAGGGGAGCAGCGGGCAGTCAGGAGAGGTCTGCCACGCCATGTGGTCACCTCTGGGGCAGGCGGGGATCGAACTCCTGCTGCAGTGGCTTTAGCTTCTCAGTGCTGTGCTGTAACCCGCTGCGCCACCAGGGAGGGCCCTTTTTTTAGCTTCACTTTATTGAGGAATGAAACCGTTCCTCTGACATAGACACTGCAGTGATTTTTTAAATTGATGTTTCCATAATTATTTTGTTATGTCTTTGTTAATTCTGGGGTAACACCTGATGTCTCTGTCCGGTGTCGTCCCTAGAGTTCCCATGTTCTAGAATTTTGCCAAGGGTCCTGCCTGATAGTTCAGGATCTGACACGATGATTCTGATGAGTTTTAACAGTCCGAGTAACAGCCACGGAAAAGACAGGCACCATTTCCGTGGTCCCCTGGCACCGGGTAGCCACTGAAGCGCTTCCTCTTTCTACAGTCACTTTGCCCACATTCAAGTTTTCCTAAACGCGAAGCGTGTAGTATGTGCTTCTTGACGAATGCCATCTTGTGCCTGTCACAGTGAGCAAGGGTAAGGCTTTGGAAACACAGGACTTGGCTTCCGGCTCCCTGGCGCTCACCTGCTCTGACTCCCGCTCACCGCTCTCTGGCCCAGTGTCTGCCTGGGTTTCCGTCCTCTGGCTATTTATTGCATTTCTTCTTTGCTGTCATTTTTGTACCTCTCCACTTTATGTTGACATAGTGTGTTTTGGTAAGTTGCTTCAAATCCTTCACAGAATAAGGACGATATCAGTAAAAATTTTATGTGCAAACATAAGTGGTAAGCGCGTTTCAGCTGGACCTCTGTCCCTTCAGGTCTAGGCCACCCCACCCCCAACCCCGTTGCCACCCATCGAGAAGCCTGTCACCCGCCAAGAGTTCAGTGACCATCTGTAGTTCCTTTTTCTCCTAACCACTCCCACCTGCATTTGCAAAGTGCTCACATATTCAAGAAAACGTAGAATTCCACATTAGACTTGTCTAATAGCCAGCAACAGCTGGTTTATTTCCTTCTGGCCTTTCCAGAAACTTGAAGAACATCTTGCCTGCTTTACAGTGCACTGGGCTGTCTCCAGCCTGTCTGATGCTGGGCTGAATGGGTTCAGTGCAGACTGAAGTCACGCCCAGCCAGCCTGGAGCCTCAAAAGGTCCCGAACCGCCAGGACTTCCCCTTCCTCTCATCAAGGGGCAAATGTGGCATTCACTTCCTCCCCACTAAACCCTGCCACCTGAAAACAACTTTGATTGGTTTGACTCAGATGGACTCCGGGTTACAGGAACAGCCCTGCTCCTCCTCCGTGGGCCTGAGGCCCCGTGGAGACCAGTAATTTGTGCAGACACACTGCTCGGTGATTTCCACTTTTCCTTTACGCTGTGAGTGCCACCCATGGCTGGGTGAATTCCGGTTTCTCTTCAGAGCTCAGGGACATCCCCAAGTAAGTGCAGACCTTGCCAACTGTGATCCTGGCCAGCTCTCGGCCCGGGGGCAGCGGCTGACGGCAGTGGATCCCAGCTCTTCTTGTCCTTCATCTCCTGGAAGGTGGGTGTCTCTGTTTGTTATTTCTGTGTCCGCAGCCTCATTCCACAAACACACAGCAGAACAAGAGTGTATGCAAGTACTAAAGGAACCAGATTGCCAAACTGTGGTGGATTAGCCCCGGCCAGTGGCTGACCTCACAGCTGGTGACCTCAGGCTGGCCGCACGTCCTTGTCACTCCATGTAGTGTTGGCATTTGCCGGTCTGCCGAGACCTGGCTGCCAGGGTGGGTGACTCTCCCCACCCCCAAATCTTCCAGGTATCCCACTCTTCATCCTGTTTTCCCATCCCCAAAAAACTGTCCAGAAAAGTTCTATTTTGAAAAATTAACATCCGAATGAGGTGCCTATTGGCGACTTCTCCCCATTTTGGGCAGGTGGATACCCGACGGGTCAGAGCCAGCAGGGCTCGGCGGCAGACCCGGCGTCTCCCAGCACTCGATAGGAGGAAGTGAACCCAGAGTGAACCGAACCAGGGGGTGTGGGCGGGTGGGGCGTGGTATTTTAGTTCAAAGTATTGCAGTATGCGGTATGCTGGAGAAGGGTGAGAATTTGCTTTTTAGAAATACAAGGCAAATATGCCAACATATTCTTGCTGATGGAAGTGTCGGCACCGCGGGCCCTCCCTGGTGGCGCAGCGGGTTAAAGCGCAGCACCGCAAGCCAGCCCTAGCGGCTTGGGTGTTCCACCCAGGGAGCTGACCCCCATGGCGCGGCGGACTCTCCTGACCCGCCCGCTCCCCATTCTTTTCTCTGGTGAATCCTTTCACCACCCCTGCACCTCTGGCCTGTACCCCAGTTCTGTATGCATAAACAAATAAATCTTATTTTTAAAAAAAGTGTAGGCAATGCAAATGTGAATGATACACCTTTACCCAGCTGGCTGGTGCTGGCTGGTGCTGGCTGGGCCCCAAGAAGCAGTGGCCTTGCTACTGCCATGGCCAGGCGGTGCGAGGGTACCTGCTGGCAGCAGGGGGCATCCTGGTAGCGGGATGTGGGCAGAGGGGCCGGGCCGGTGGAGCCAGTCCTTGGTGTCCCAGGACAGTGCTGGCCCCGGGCTGACCTCACAAGGGGGTTAACAGGTGTCGCCTCTACTTCTGTTTTCTGATTTCTTCAAAATCAATTTGGGGTTTCATCGATTTTCTCTAATTTTTTTCCTGTTTTCAGATTCATGGATCTCTACCCTCATGTTTATAATTTCTTTCCTTCTGGTTCCACGAGCCTTAAATTTCTCTCTTTTCTCCCTAGTTTTCTGAGGTGAAAGCCCACATTATTGATTTAAAACTTCCTATCCCTCTAAGCACTGCTTTGGATGAATTCTGTAAATTTTGGTAAATTGTTCAACATACTTTAAAATTTCCCTTGTTTTATCATGGACAATGATGTAAAACAAAATGTGACAAATGCCCTTCTCCTCTCCTTACAAACATTGCTGTCAGTCATGTTACTTATCTATACACTATAAGCCTATGTTCATCTTATTTTGAGCAAAGTAGAATATTTAGATCAATTTAGAATAGGAACAAAACAATAACTATGTATTTTCCTTTCCTGGTGTTTTTCCTTTCTTAATGTAGGTCTGAATTTCTGACTTATGTCAGTTTTTTTCTGCAGGATAAATCTGGTGATTCATTATTTTAGTTTTCATCTGAGGAAATCTTTGTTTCTCCTTCACTTTGAAAGTTACTTTCAAAAGATACAAATGTTTGCATTGGTGGTTTTTCGTTAATTACTTTATATATTTAATATATTTACTAGCATGGCTTCTTTCCACTTTCTTTCCTAATAAACGTTTCTTTACAAGCATTATGTCTAATGAGAAACCTGCTGCAATTTTTATTCTTATCACTCCGTGCATAACTGGCTCCCCACATCCTCTGTGCCACGCTGGCATCTCTTTGTTCGACATCTAGTCTACATATTTTTGTTTTTTCTATTCTGCAGCTCAAATAGAGAACAACTTCATGTAACTTCTTGATGTCTATCCAGTTTGCATTTGTTGAGATTCCTGAGTCTGTAGTTGTCTGTTATTAATTTTTGAAGATTCTTGACCATTATTATTTACTTCCAGTAGTTCTCCTGTTCTCATTCTTCTCTTTCTGATATCTAACTTATACCTCTTGCTATTGCTCCTGCTTGGATATTTTGTTCTCTTGTGTTGTTTCCTTTTCCTTTTTTTCTCCCCTCTCTTTGCATTTTGATTTTTTTTTTTTTTTTAGTTATTTCCTTCTCTCCTCCAGGAAGACTAGAGGGGCTGGATTTTGGTAACTACCCTCCCCCGAGTTAGATAAAACTCGGGTAAAGTGTTTTTTCCTGGGGAGTAGGCCTTTAGAGTTCAGTAAGGGGGACACTCTGGGCTGTTTGCAAACGTTTCCTACTCCACCCTAGACTCCCACATTTGCAAGAAGCATAAGGGTTTGTACCTGATTCATCACTGTGAGCATCTGCTGGGGTTCTTAAAATGAAAGCCCACAAGAAGTTGGAGTCCATTCAAAGTCTGATTTCATGTGTACCTACACTAAGCCTCCAGCAAGTCATCAAACGTACTATTGAGCTTTCCCATTAACCTATGACTATAGTGGTTTCTGTTTCAGTGAGTTGATCTCCATTTAATGAGATGAACTTTAAAGCCTATGACTTTACTGGGAAAATTCCAGATGCCTGTTGATGAAACCCTTTTTCTCAAGAAGCCTCTAGCCTCTAGCCTGGATACAAATGTTCTGTGTGGGCTGCAGGACACCCTTGGGCCCTTCCCTGATCCCTGGGTCATCCTCGTCAACATATCAGTTAGCTCCCTGACCAATCTCTCCTTTTGAGACTTTGGTTTAAATTGCTCATCTCTTCCTCTTTGCTACATTAATACCTTTACTCTCTAGTGATGGGGGGGGGGGATATGTTTTCAGTGAAGTATTAACCAGAATGCTTCTTTTCAGTGAACTATTAACCAGGAACTCAGTACAGAATGGGTTTTATTCTGTCTTGATGCGTATTTGAAGAATGAGATGTCCCAGTGGCTCTTTTACGGTGGGATAAAAAGAAAATCCTACAAGTCTTAGGATTTTAAAGTCTATAGCTTTTAGAAAGCAGACATTCATTATCAATGAAGAAAATGGTTTGCCCAGTAAGACTTAGAATTACAAAGCTGTTGAGTATAAGAATTACTGTTCCCAGACAGGGTCATAATGAAACATAGAGACCTTCTGGTCTCCATGTATGTAACACTACACAGGCAGAGGCAGGTGCAGATACAGAAAGTGTCCTGATGGTGGATATTCACACAGGAGCTCTATATTAAATTCTTGTGACTGTTGCTGGCTGAAATCTTGCCATTGCACCTTTGAAATGATTTTATGATGGAAAAGGCCACTCCTGCCTCTGCAGTTACAGATGAGGAAGTCTATCTCTTTCACATACTCCTGAGATTTATACTAGTTACAAGAAAAGCTTATAATTGCTTATTGCTTTGTCTGCAACCTTCAAAAGATTCTTTATTAGTCAGTATTCTCCAGAGCAACAGAATAAATAGGATGCATGTGCACACATGTACACAAGGTCATGTGTTCTGAGAAATGTGCCATGAGATGACTTTGTCATTCTGGGAATGTTCTAGAGTACATTTACACAGACATAATTGATATAGCCTACTACACATCTAGGTTGTTTATAGGGGCCACCATTTTTGACTGAAATGTTGCTGTACAGTATATAACTACCGGCCAATTTATCTATTACCCAACTATCTATTTATCTATCATCTACCTACCTATCTATCTCTTTATTGACTCCCAGTGTTTACGCTATCTGCAGTGTGGGTCAGAAGGCTGGAGCCCCAGCAGAGCTAATGGTGCTGTTCCAGTCTGAAAGCCAACTGCTGAGGAGAATTCCTTCTTATTCGGAGAGGTCAGTTTTTGTTTTTTTCTTGACTTCAACTGATTGGATGAGGCCCACCCAAGTTGAGAATGGTAGGCTGCTTACTCAAATTTCACCAGTTTAAATGTTAATCTCATCCCAAAATACCCTTCAAGTTGACACAGGAAATAAAATATCACCGACCGTATCATATCAGTTCCTATAAAGATTTTAACATTTTAAAATTCAGTTTCTCTAGAGGGTTCAAGTGAAAGTCTCTATAGTGGTTTTGATTAGGATGGGTGAACACTTTTACTTCTGTGTGCTGATATTTCTGAAGCTCAGTGATTTCTCCTGAACCATTTTTTATTGTTCACATAAATAAATTCCATTTATTCTGCTCTTTTCATAAGACCACTGTGTCACACACATACGCTAGCTCTCCACTGTCTTTCTTCTGTGTCTGGAATCTTCCGGCTGATCCAGGGCAACAGGGGCCCACTAAAACTGGCCAAGGACAGTGCCTAATACTTTGTGGGTCACTGTCCGTGCACACTGCAAGACTGAGTACTCAGGTTTAGAGAACAACAATGATGGGATGTAATTAACAAACCAGTGGTGGGGGGGGGAGAGTTACTGAGGTTAAAAAAAAAAAAATGGCTCTTTACCTCACCCAAAGCAGTGTCCAGTGTTTTTAAGTCCTAAACACAAACACTCCAAATATGGCGTCTTCCTGCTACTGTGGACTCGTGATGGCCAGACTGTAGGCCAGCTTCCAGCTCACGGGGACAGCAGAAGACACAACAGGAGACGCTTCTGGAGCTTCTGGATGCTCCCGCAGCCCCCAGACAAGCAACGCTCAAAACAGCAGTTGCAGTGGTGGAACAACTTGACAAACGGACACACTCACACAGCGCAGGCAGGTACGGCTCCAGGTCTTCACCTCCAGCTGTTACAGCAGCTGGGACAATTTCAGCCACTGGGCTACCTGCGAGCCTTCAAACTTTTCTTCTCTGAGGTTAGCTTCTAGAAGCCTCTCCATGCCTTTCAGAGGCTCACAACAACGTTCTGGAAGGTCAGCACGGTGGGGACAGAAATCGCTGAAGGTCCTAAAACTCTAAATCCCGAAACTGAATGTGGGGGGCTGCGCCTGCCACCCCTTAGATGTCTTACCAGAGTCTCCCCCCCAAATGCAGTACTTACCCAATTTTCCCTTGGGCTAGCTATCCTCTAGGGTCCCCGCCTCCAGGGGACAGCACCTGTCACCATCTTAGGCTTCAGTCAACAGTTAGACAGCCACTACAGGCCTCCTGAAAACTCAGTGTTTTCAATGTGCTTTGTCTCCCAGGATGTTCACTGAAGATCAGTGCCGAGAGGAACAGATCTTAGTGTACCAGGAGTTCTGTGAATGCCTTTTCAGGCTTTTCAAAGAAAATAAGGTAGAGATCGCACATGCAATAACAAGGGAATTTCCTTTTCTGATGGGCATCCGTGACCGTGGCTTCATCTCTGAGCAGAAGTTTCAGGTGAGGAGAACGTCTTCTGATAGTATACCACATTCGGATGCATCACACAGGCTCACGAGCCCCCATGCGTGGCGATGTTCCCCAAGTAGTAGGCGAGAGGAGAAATGGCATCTCAGAAAGCACGGCTTTTTCTGGAGTAAATGTTTGTGGAGAGGGAGGGCGAAGAGACGTGGCAGAGCTGGAAATGGGGGTGCTCGTGGGTACAGAGCATCTCAGGGGTGTTGACCAAAATTAAGTAAGAGAACTGGGTAATGTGGCATCGCCACACCCTCTCCTGTCGCGCTTTAATTACTGAGGTGACGGAACAGCGAAGTTGTGCTGCAGCAGGATGAGTCTGAAGCAGATGCTTACTGCTGTCTCTCCAAGTCCCTTCTTGCCCTCAGTCCTCTCTGGAGCCCCAGGAGGCAGGCAGAGGTTAGAAGCGGGTCTTTCTGGGATGACTAAATAGGAAGACTCTTTGTCTTTGTGGATTTTCTCTGCCTTTGACCAAGTTCCCAGCAAGGAAGAGTGAGTACCCGTTTTTCTGGGGCCCCCAGGCCTGGCCAGTGCTGTGGGGAGGGCAGCTGTGACCAGCCGGTTGACAAAACGGCCTCATTACCAGTCAAGGCACCTCTGTGGCTTCTCCGCCGGACTCCTAATGTCCACACCCAACATTCAACTTGGTTTTTTTTTTTTTT